GAGTGCTATTTTAATGGTGAATGCTATACATAACATGCTATACTGTACATAGTATGGTCTCTGGCTCCATCTAATAGTCAGTTCTGGTAACTTCATCTTTAGAAATATATATTTTTCTTTTCACATAATTTCTGTTTCCCTCTAGTGGCCAGTTTCAGTAATACAACTTGGAAACATGTACCGTATTTTCCGTGTATAGGACACCCCCACTTTTCTAACCCAAAATTAAAAAATCTAAGTGGGGCTTAGCATGTGTAGGGGGAAAGGGATCAAAACAGTGCAGGATTGCTTTGATCCTTTCCCCCTACACTTGCTAAGCCCCATGGGACTTAATAAGCAGAGGGGAAAACAAGGATCAAAGCCATCTTGCAGCACTTTGATCCCTGCTTTCCTTTTGCTAAGGCTTAGCAAGTGGAGGGGAAAGCAGGATCAAAGCCCTGCAGTATCACTTTCATCCCTGTTTCCCCCTCCACTTGGTTTTTCTCTCCTCAGCTTACTTCCATGTATAAGACAACCCTCAATTTTTAGTCTAAAGATTTTAGACAAAAGTATAGTCTTATACATGGAAAATTACGGTATTTGGGGGATGGTTATTTAATATTTTCAGACAACAGGTAAGTGAAATTGCAGGTACTGATCCCTCAGATATGGTGGTACTACTGTATTGCCTGGTACATATTCAGCAGCACCAACCATGAAGCAGCAAAGCTTATTCAGAATATTTCTGAAGATATATACTGTACTTTATATATTTTATAATCCCAAACTCTTAATGCTTTTCTGGCCCAGAATTATGTTGAAGTTGAAAAAACAAACAGGGAAGGAAAGTGAGTTTGGTTTTGATGAGTTCTTTACCTTTCTTGGTAGAAAGATGATCCAGCAAACGTTTTCATTCTCTATATTCATGGGGGGGGCGAATCATTAATAAACCTGTTGATTAAACTTTAAATCTTCGCTTTATACTTTGCTCGCCAATGGAACCAGCTTGATCCAGGTGAAAATCTCATGAATCCCACTTTCTCCTTTCTTTCTACAATCCCCTTCTGTCTTTTGCACTGATGTTTCTCTCTCCCTTTCCCCTCACTCTTTTGATTCTTTTGATTGGGTTACACATTCAGTTTATCCAATACTTACAGGTCCGAGAATCCCCTAGATAGCAAGACTTCCAATAAATGAGCATCTGTAAGATTGCAATATGATTAATGGTCAAACATCACACCATCTTAATATGTAACGAGAATACAACACACAGCCACACATGCTGTCCTTTTGATAAAATCAGAGTCACAAGGGGCTATTAGGCCCACTTGAAGTAAGGTATATAAAACCTTCTGTAGCCCCACCAAGGAGATCCACTTCAGTGGGTATTGCCAGACTCTAACCAGCCCTTTTCTGGGCTTTAACAAACCTAACAAATGATCATATGAAGAAACCACTGTTTGAATTCTTCCAGCTTGAAAAAAAAAAGTAGAATTCCCCAACAGTGTGGGGGGGACACCAAAGGGCTAGGTTGATTCACATTGGCCTTATTATTGTGTACTGTAATCAGTTCTGGAGAAATGGATGGAGCACTGGGCCGAAAACAACAGAATGAAATTCAACAGGGATAAGTGCAAAGTACTTCAACTTGGAATAAAAAACCAATCGCACAATTACAAGACAGGGGATACCTGGCTCAGCACGGAATAAAAAACCAATCGCACAGGGGATACCTGGCTCAGAAAACTACAAGCGAGAAGGATTTTGGAATTGTCATAGATCACAAGCTAAATATGAGCCAACAGTGTGATGAGGCTGCAAAAAAGGCAAATGATATTTTAGGCTGCATTAATAGAAGTATAGTTTCCAAACCCCGTGTGGTGCTAGTCTCCTCTCTGTTCAGCACTGGTTAGGCCTCACCTTGAATGTTGTGTCCAGTTCTGGACGCCAGACTTCAAGAAGGATGCTAACAAACTGGAACAAGTTCAAGGGAGGGCAACAAGGATGATCAGGGGGCTGGAAACCAAGCCTTATGAGGAAAGTCTGAAAGAATTGGGCCTGTTTAGCCTTGAGAAAAGAAGGCTGAGGGGTGATATGATAACACTTTTCAAATATTTGAAAGGCTGTCATACAGAGGAGGGGGAAGATCTGTGGACACGCAACAATGGGATCAAGTTAAGGGAAGCCAGATTTCAGTCAAATATCAGGAAAAACCTTTTAACTGTTAGAGCAGTACAACAGTGGAACCAGTTACCTCTGGAGTTGGTGAGTGTTCCAACACTGGAGGCATTCAAGAAAAACTTTACATGGCAGATATGCTTTGATTTTATTCCTGCAGTGAGGAGGGGGTTGAACTTGATGGCCTTTTGGGCCCCTTCCAACTTCACTTTCCCATGATTCTTTTATTCAGAGATATCTGTTTTTCTCCCACATCAAATCCTATACTATTTACCCATATAGTTGCAGCCTCAGTGAGCCCTGTATTCAAGTGAAAATTGGCTTGCAGGTTTGCTTGCCACAGCAATGTTTTGAATTCTTCTTCTGCTTAAAAAAAATGTATCCCAGTCCCCTGCATTATGATTTCTACTAATGTTTTGAACATCTGTTTTTTGTCTGTTCAGGTTTTCAATACGTGGGGGAGGAAAATGTGCTTATGCGAACCATCTTGGTATTGCTAGCTCCAGTTGCACACGAGAAGAACACTGGATCTGCAGTAAAGGAGAGTCTTACACAGCACACTGAAACAGTCTTTCTTTCTTTGTATCAAATAGTTGCAAATTTTGTATCAAATAACTGCACAATTTAAATAATGAAATATAGATAAATATTAGATAAAATTAAAAACAAATTAAAATGTTAAGATGGTTAGGCTATTTTTTACCAGAAGCAGGCTAGGATGTTGACAACCTGAAACATGTCCAGAGGAGGGCGACTAAAATGGTCAAAGGTCTGGAAGCCGTGTCCTATGAGGAGCAGCTTAGGGAGCTGAGAATGTTTAGTCTTACAAAAAGAAGATTGAGAGGGGACATGATAACTGTAACGGCCTCCCTCTACCTCACAAAGGGGGGTCGCTACGTCACCCTAAATCACTCTTCTTTTCCACTGCCACCAACCATTCCCTCAAATAAGTACCTTCAGGCCAAGATATGATTCAAAATAAAAACTCAGGTTTATCGGGTACAAATAAAAGGAATGGTAAATCACTTATAATTAAATAATAATTCAATCACTATAATAAAGCACTAGCATACACAGACTCTCACGATACATCACAGATCTCCTAACTCCTCTCTAAACCCTATCCAAGCCCTATCAGTCCCTATCTAAAATCTCTCACACACATTCACTCCCATTTATACAACCGCTCCACCCCTTATGTCCCACCCTCTGTCACACCATTGGTAGATGACTCGCAGCTTTAGCAGTGACGGACAGGTGAGGTCATAGCTGTATGTAACAATAACCATGTTTAAATATTTGAAAAGATATCATGTTGAAGAGGTGCCAGGTTTGTTTTCCAGGGTTCCAGCAACTAGGACACGGAGCAATGGTTTCAAACTACAGGAAAAGAGATCCCATCTGAACATTAGGAAGAACCTCCTGATGGTCAGAGCTGTCCGGCAGTGCAACAGGCTGCCTCGAAGGGTGGCGGAGTCTCCTTCTTTGGAGGTTTTTAAGCAGAGGCTGGATGGCCATCTGTTGGGAATACTTTGATGGATGTTCCCACATGGCAGGGGGTTGGACTGGATGGCCTCAGTGGTCTCTTCCAACTCTATGACTCTATGACTTCAATAGTGCTGTCTCATCCATTTGCTAGATCCTTCTCTCTCTCTCTCTTTCTCTCTGTCTCGGTACACATGGAGGGGCATACATTGCATGCAAAGAAGTGCTCCATGGAGATTGGAGGGGCATATATTGCATGCAAAGAAGTGCTCCATGGAGATGGAGATGGTATTTAACACTGATGAAATTGAATATAATGAATAAACAGATCCCATCTATATGTTGGAGATGTAAGAAAGAAAGAGGGACATATTCTCATATGTGGCAGACATATGAATATATGTAGCAGACATATGAATATTGTATCTCATCTTCTGGCCTTCTGATTGGTTTGTCTCACAGCATGTCTTCCCTGCTACCATGAAAACAAGAACATGTGGCAGACATATGAATATTGTACGTATGTCATCTTCTGGTCTTCTGATTGGTTTGTCTCACAGCGTGTCTTCCCTGCTACCATGAAAACAAGAACAAAAAGAAGCATGGTACTATTTTTTTTCCCCCAAGATGGCAGACAGCTGACTCTGTATTAGTCCAATCTTCCTACACTTTTGGTTATTTATCCAGAATTTATCTGGATTTGGTCACAGTGACAGTCCTCCCAGTAACATCTCCTGTGACCAATTTGCAGCCTTCTTTAAAAAAAAAAAAGTGGAGGCCATCCGCCTAGATATCTCTCCTCTTTATCAGTGGATCAACCCGAGACGTGCAGCGCATCTCTTTGCCTGGGAATTTTAGCACCATTTCAGCCTGTGACGTCAGTTGAGGTTGACAGGGTCCTTGACCGCTGCAGGACCACCACCACCTCACTAGATCCTTGCCCGGCCTGGCTGTTGAAAGGGGCCAGGCCGATAACAAGTGAGTGGGCAGAGGCTATTATCAGTGAGTCTCTCCTTGAGGGCAGGGTCCCCCTTGCCCTCAAGGAGACACTTAGGGATTGCGCAAGGAGCTGCCTAGGGATATTGCAAAAACATTCCTGGCTCCTTGTACTGGGCAATCTCTCTATCTTTGAGAGGTCTATGCCAATGGGGTCCGTCCTTAACAACAACAACAAAAAAGCTAGGTGTTGTCTGGCCCACCTTTTTGTGGACCAATCTATGAGTTTCCCCTTGAAGGGAAAGACTGTGATTGCCAGGCTCTTTGGATTGTAAATCAAGTTGAAGTGGTTTTTTCCCAGTGGCTGTTGAAGCAGAATTCCCAAATGGGGGCATTGGTAGCTCTTTATGGAGAGTCCTTCTCGTGATAAGACTGTTCTCCTCGCTTATTGGAGGGGGGTTCTTGTGGATTTCTAGGAAAGGTCCCCTCTTTCCCTTGGAGTAGCTTTAAAATGCATTCCAGATGAAGGAAAATTTGTCTCAGCTATCAGGAAGATTTGTTTTATTAATGGGTCAATGTCTCTTTGTCCTTCCTGAAAAATTACCTCCTTCAGCTGGGTTGGAAATGCCATAACCCCTCACCTCCTCAGGGGCTGCAGGGGAGTGCTGTAAGGAGCAACCAATCTCCCCAGAGAAGGCTTCCAAACATTCATTATTGCTCTGCCTCTTTAAAGGAGCAAAGAACTCTTCTAGCTTGGACTGCGTGGAAGCCGGGGACAGATTTTCACTCCCCCGCCCTCCTCTTGCAAGAAATTCCTTTTCCTTCCCATAATGTTTGTGTCTTTGAAGGAGGCAATTAGTACTCACAGAACTCTAAGACGGAGGTGCTGTGGGGAAAAGCTGTGAATATCAAGGCTGAAACTTGAACAAAGGAATTTGAAGGAGTTTGAAGATCAAGGTAACCCAAATAAGTTAAAGTTGATAAAACAAAACAAAACAAGCTGATGGAGCTCCTGACTAGAGCTTCTCGCACGTCGCCATCTTGCCCAAAACTCCCAAGGCATGGTGAGGAACCATGGAGGCTGGGATCCTGCGTTACATGGAAGGCCCCACATTTCCTATGACTAAAGATTTAAACAAGGCAAAATATTTTGAAAAGTTTGCAGATCTGGGAGAGGGTCAGGCTAGCTACCCTTGTTCATGAGTTTTAGTTGCCCTTATGTAGTAAATTGTGTACTCTGCCCTGTCACTAGCCAAGCTTTCCCAAGTCTCATTCAATACCCTTATTAATTAACCATGGCTTGGCAAAGCATTAACTGTGAAAACAGCTCTATATCTCACATATCATCGTCAGTTCTGCTACTGATTTTTTTTTCATTTAGAAATACCTTGAATTTGAGTTTTGAATTTGCAAATATTGCGCATATTAACTTGGGGTCAAACTAGATGTTAAGGCGACTGCTTAATTCCAGTGATTACCCTGTTTCGAAAACAGCTCTATACCTCACATATCATCGTCAGTTCTGCTACTTGTTTTTTTTATTTAGAAAAACCATGAAGTTTGAGTTTTGAATTTGCAAATATTGCACATATTAACTTGAGGTCAAACTAGCTGTTAAGGTGACTGCTTAATTCCAGTGATTACCCTGTTTTCCTTCTCAAGAGGAGATTTCTCCAGGGAGACATATCTCAGTAATCAAAGTAAAACAAAAGCATGCTGTTGTGACTTGCCCACCTGGAAAGAGGACACAACACCAGCACACAAGGGCCTGAGCCCTTGAAAGTCTGTTACGCAACCTTCAAAGAATCACCGGATTTCAAAAGCTCGGTGTTGGGATGGCAAACAAGTTACACCAGTTCAAGTCCCATCTGGGGAAAGTATGGATCTCAAGGCCAAATTCAGCTCTTGTATGGGTAGTCTGCCAGCAAGCAGCATATTGGATGTAACAAGTGGAGTGTTGGTCTAGGAGTGAAGGAGGTCCGGCCTGTAACACATTCGGCCACCAGTTTCGCTCAGATACCAAAAGCTAGCAACCATCGCTCAGCCTTGCCTACCTCACAAGAGTGCTGTATGGATGGACTAGGCCATTCACAATACATAGAATAATTGAATTGAAAGGAGCCTATAAAGCAGATCTGACAGATGTTTGCCCAATTTTCTCTTGAATGACTCCAGCGTTGAAACGCTCACCACCTCTAAAGGTAATTGGTTCCATTTTGGTACTGCTCTAACAATTAGGAGGCTTTCCTGATATTCAGCCTAAATCTGGCTCCCTGTAGCTTGAGCCTATTACAATGATCACCAATCAACAGAGGCAAAAGAAGGAATTTTGAAAAAAAAATTAGGTTTCGGAGAAAAGAAAGATGAACTGTTGCTGCTTCCAGTAAGCTCAGCCACTGAAAAACTGTTCGCAAATATCTTCTTTTTCTGGATAAATTCAATAAAACAGTTTTTCCAGTTTCTCTGTCCAAAGATTTTGTGCATCACTCTGAAAATGTCCACCTTTTCACTTACATTTCCCCAAAGTTTAAAAACAACTGCATAAGAACACCTTGTCTTCCCCACTTTGTCATCAACACCTTCTCATGAAGTACCGCACAATTTCTTGTGGTTGACACAAAGCAAGAGTGGTTCAAGTTTTCTGACCATCACCCAGCCTAGTGAAACATTTCCCACCACTTCTAGTGCTTGCTCTCTGAGTCTCTGCAACACTGAATTGCTTCTCTGCAAACTTATCAGTAGATTATCAATGGAAGATGATAGCGGCTACACTGCTCTGTACTTCCAGTCTCATAGGAGGGGCTCGCAAGCTCTCTGTGCAGCTGGGAAACAAGGTATGAGATATGTGAAATTAAATTTTTCTTTATAAACTTGTACTTAATAATAAGTACTTAATAAACTGGTTTTTACACTAGTAGTAGCAGCTGTGGTAGAGTAGTATAATGATGGTGCCAGTGATTATTGGGGTTCCAGCAGTTATTTAACCCTTTTCTTCTCAGCTGCCATCTTTAAAAAGACAGTCCCTCCAGCTGCTTTTAACTGCTTCTTAAACTGATTTATTTTCTTAAGTCAAGATTTGGTTTTTCATCTTTATTTTTTATTATTGTTAGCTATCCTCAGTGCCTTTTTAGGTTAAAAGGCAGGATTTAAATTACAGAAAACATAAATATACAATAAAAAAATATCAGCATGTCGATGAAAGCTCCCATTGGTGCCGATTAGCAACATCTCCCTGGATCAAAACAGGGGCAGCCAAGATTTTCAGGATTTAAATTACAGAAAATATAAATATACAATAAAAAATATCAGCATGTCGATGAAAGCTCCCATTGGTGCCGATTAGCAACATCTCCCTGGATCAAAACAGGGGCAGCCAAGATTTTGGCCTGTCATGAGGCTTTCATTTGTCACATGCCAGTTGTGTGGCTCACACATGGCAAGAACTACTGATAGCCTTTATACACTGCTTGAGATCCTGTCCTGGTGATACCTCATGGTTTATCTGAAATTGTAAAACTGAGGTTCCATACGTTCTTATTTCTCTGTGTGTTTTTTTCTTGTCAAGAGATTGTGGTATCCAATCAGGAAGGCTATACAACTCTGAATAACCTCCACACACAGAGGGGTACCACAGGGCCTCTTTCTCCATCTAAGAAACAAGGTTCTGATTTTCCATGTTTATTGCCTGAGTTCCAAAACTGAGAACATAGATCTGAATGCTTCCATCATTTCAGGTCCTAACAATATCAAACTATTTTAGGCTTGTAATCTTAAATTCCTGTACCTGGGAATAAGCTTCATTTAACTCAATGGAAGTGAGTTCTGATCAGATGTATGGTACAGCACAGTTGGCTAAGTTAATTCATTATGTCAATATATTGGCTCATAAAACTCAAGGAATTCTGAAGCAAGTTATATCAGATAAGATATAAAAATACAAGACATGTTATTTTTACACTTGAGTAAAAACAGTATAATGAGAAAATCATTACAGTTAATAGGAGCTCCTGGTGTGAACTAGCCGAAATTCTCAAGGGAGATCCCATCTTCTGCTTATGGTCCATGAGCTACCTAGGCCTAAAACATGACAAAACATCCGGTCTGCCACAGGAATGAAATCAAAATATTCACCAAAGCTAGACATTTTATTGAATAGAGCTGTATTCACTTGGCACTAAGACAGAGTCTTAAGTGACAAGTGCGGAGGAAACAGGTGAACTCTGCTGAAGTAACTTTCTCATTCTACTGTCCATTTCACTGTGGAAAATAATAAAGGCACCCCTGTTTTGGGCTGAATCCAATGAAATTCTTATTAATGGATTTCTGTGTTCAGTAACCCAGACAGAGAACCGGGCCAGACAAGATGAGTTTCAAAAGGGATAAATGTAAAGTTCTACATTTAGGTAAGAAAAAAGCAGACACACAAATAGAAGAGGGTGATACATTGCCTAGCAGCTGTACGTGTGATAAGAATCTGGGATGTATTCTCAAAGACTTTGTGTGACTATGAAGAAAGGATCTGAGATATTAGACCGCAAGCTAAGTATGAGTGAATACAGTGGGGTCTCTACTTAAGAACTTAATCCGTATTGGAAGGTGGTTCTCAAGTTGAAAAGTTCTTATGTTGAATCTGCATTTCCCATAGGAATGCATTGAAAACCATTTAATCCGTATCTGCTCTTTTCTGTCCATAGAAACTACTGTAGTGTGAGGCGATGACAGAAAAATTTGTTAATGCAGCACTAAGCTTCACCAGTGACCGTATAGGGTAGTGATTACCATTCTTGAGTCCCCAGGTGTTCTTGCATGCAACTTCCAGAAAGTGGTGAAGGCTTCTGGGAGTTTTAGACCAAGAACATATGAAGACCCAAAGGAAGTAATAAGTACCACTATATTATATGTCTACCAGACTTCATCTGGAATATTGTGCGAACTTCAAGGCAACACACTTTAAGAAGCCAGAAAGTATCCAGAGGAGGGCAGCCAAAATAATAATGGGTCTGGAAACCAAGCCCTCTGAGAAATGGTCGAGGGAGCTGGGTATGTTTAGACTACAGAAGAGGAGAATGAAATGGGTACATCCTAGCCATCTGTAAATATTTGAAGGGCTGTCAAGGGGGAAAATGGAACAAGTAACTTAAGTTGCAAGAACCAAGATTTTGATTACAATTTAAGAAGAGCTTCCTGAAATTGAAAGTTGTGAATTGTAAAGACAAAGGTGTCTTTATTTGGAAATCTGAAGTTTGGGTGACCTTTTGTTGGGGCTACAAGATGCTTTAGCTGTGATGCTTTAGCTATGTACTTCTTGCTATGTATTGGTAAGAGCTTGATCTGGTGATACATGGTGATCCCTGTGATTCCATTATTCTCAAAAGGATCTATTGGAATACATAGGACCTTTGAAAAAGTCTACCTCTTTTCATTGCGTATTCCCCAGATGGCACTAATGTTGGATTTAGCACACAGAGGTTGCATATTTCCTCCAGGAGAGCAAATAACAATAATATGAATGGTCTAAATTAAGAAAATATAAGGGGACACACACATATCACTAACATGCCTCTGTACACAAACACAAATAAATGCACACACACACAAACTCATCATATCACCTCAATGGTTATGTGGTTATTTCTTAAGAAAAAACAGAAATCAGTCATTTTATTTCTAGGTTGGCACTTATCTGCTGGACAGCCAAGGAGTTTAGATATCTGGCTACAGAGCCAGGTTAGCAGTTCAATTTCCCACTGTGCCTGACGAGGGCTAGACTCAATGATCTATAGGGTCCCTTCCAGCTCTACAGTTGCAAGTTTATTATTATAACATACTGCAGGATACTGTTATTCAAGATAGATATTCACTGCTAATGTTAGAAAAGACTCAAGTTACATTTAAATACATACAATTGTGTGATCACGAAGAAAAGATAACGCACCTTTTCACAAATTGCCAGCAATGCTAGAAGGCTATATAGATCTTAAATCTCCTGAAGGCTAGGAGGAGTACTTTGGTATCTGCCTCTGCAAAGAACAGACAAGGTACCAATTTCCAGGTTTATTTTGCTAGTTGTATAATGCAATTGAGACACAGATAGGAGAGCACTTATTGCTTCCCTTGTCTAGTGTTTTATACACTAACTTTATATCTTGCCAAGGTTAATACAAGATTAAGTTTGTCCTCAACAAAGCACCATCTGGTAGGCCACCTGCGGCAGCAGTTTTGACCACCACCTCAATGACTGCCATCTTAGTTTGTCCAGAATTATACTATTATAAAGCATTGCTGAGGGTTTTTAAATGGTGGCCACCTACAAATGTATGAAATAAATTACATGCACATAGTCTTAAAGAAATCAAAATTTAAAATAAGTGATCCGTTAGAACATGGAGCATCAGTTAAAATCAAAATAAAAGCTGGGCAAGGAAGATAATGTGTCTGTTGTGGTGTAGAAAAGATTGCTTGAGAAGAACATTCGAAGATGAGAAGTTTTGAACCTAGAAATGACTTCTCCATGGATCACTACCCTCCCTCCAGTTAGCAAACATATACTGAGGCCAGATTGCTCTCTTCGGGATGGGTAAGGTAAATTATCCTGGTCACGCAAGAGAAATGTTATGTAGTTATCCATCAGTTATGTTGGGGTTTTTTTGGGGGGGGGGTGTCACACAACGCGCTGTCAAGAGACAATTTCCCAGTATAACTGCAGAACATTTCCCCATCTCCAGGAGGGTTGTGTTACTTTGCACCTCTATTGTACCAGTGCATTCCTTACCAGGATTCCCTATGTGCACAACCTACCCTGACTTCTTTTCAGAATCAAAACCAGGAAGGCGTCCGCCATTACTGCAGCACACACATAATTTTTTAAAAAGCATTTGTGTCAATACATCAATACGTTGTAAACGTATGTCACGGGGGCACCATTGTATTAGTGGCAAGAAATAATTTCTTCTATTTCTGGGGGAAGACACATTGAAACGTTGGCCTGTCAAGGTCCCCGGGTGGGGGTGGGGGCGATCGCCAGTACTGCCATGCAGATATCGCAAGTCCATTGTGTGTGATGCATTTCTGTAGCAGCAGCCAGTGCAACCGAGGGACAGTAACGTATGTCACGGGGGCACCATTGTATTAGTGGCAAGAAATAATTTCTTCTATTTCTGGGGGAAGACACATTGAAACGTTGGCCTGTCAAGGTCCCCGGGTGGGGGTGGGGGCGATCGCCAGTACTGCCATGCAGATATCGCAAGTCCATTGTGTGTGATGCATTTCTGTAGCAGCAGCCAGTGCAACCGAGGGACAGTACAGTAAACAGAACCCTCTTCCTGATCAATTTTCCTTCTATTTTCCAGCCCGCCCATGTGCAAGTCTGCCCCCCCCACCTGGGGTTCTATTGCACTTGGAATGAAAGGGGCTGGAGATGATAGCTGTGGGTGCATGGGGGAGGAAGAAAGCTGTGTGGAAGGGGGGTGGAGTCAAGTACACTCACGTACCATTAAGGGAGACTTTTTTTCTGATATATTGATATTAGATTAGATTAGATTAGATTAGATTAGATTAGATTAGATTAGATTAGATTAGATTAGATTAGATTAGATTAGATTAGATTAGATTAGATTAGATTAGATTAGATTAGATTAGATTAGATTAGATTAGATTAGATTAGATTAGATTAGATTAGATTAGATTAGATTAGATTAGATTAGATTAGATTAGATTAGATTAGATTAGATTAGATTAGATTAGACATATAAACCATGGGAGGGACGTGGTGGCGCTGTGGGCTAAACCACAGAAGCCTCTGTGCTGCAGGGTCAGAAGACCAGCAGTCGTAAGATCGAATCCACGTGACGGAGTGAGCACCCATCGTTTGTCCCAGCTCCCGCCAACCTAGTGGTTCGAAAGCATGCAAATGCAAGTAGATCAATAGGGACCACCTCGGTGGGAAGGTAACAGCGTTCTGTGTCTAAGTCGCACTGGCCATGTGACCACGGAAGATTGTCTTCGGACAAAACACTGGCTCTATGGCTTGGAAACGGGGGTGAGCACCGCCCCATAGAGTTGAACACGACTGGACAAAAATTGTCAAGGGGAAACTTTACCTTTATAAACCATGGGACCACAATTCTGTACAACAGAGGTATGGGAAGTATCGGAAGAACTAGAAAACATTTCCCTCGTCTGACCAGGACCTAAATTACCCTGGATGATTCTTTCGGGTTTTGGATGCCAGACCAGCCCAGACTGCTCCAGGGATTCCAACAATAAGTCTCCAACCATAGGCTGGAGGATTCCCCAGATGACAAAGCCTTTGGTCAGCCAAGAGAGATTTATTTCCAACTATGTAGAATATCCCTCAACCATGAAATCCAGCTCCAATTTTAATCTAAGACAAAGGAGAATTCAGGAGGTTGTGCAGTTTGTCTCTCTCTCTCCTTTTTGACCTCTCTGGATTAACTCAGAGAAAACCTCATGACCATCTGTAAAAGGAGCAAATTTAAAACTTTTGTAATGTAGATGTTATAGGTGCAAAGCAGGAAAAAAAATACTCAGGAAAAGAATGGGTGAATTACTGGAAGAACGCTTTTAGCAGTTGACGAAGATCTTCAAATATAGGTTGTGATCAATTACACTTACAAGAGTAGCATAAAATGTGAATATTAAAATAAACTATTTAGAGTCAATCTGCCTTACATCTACACTTGATTAGGCTACACATTATGCAGACATGCAGATTTGATGTGTGCTGGAGCCTTGCTCTCCATAGTGTGGGTTTTAAAGGCAAAAATCCACACACTTCTTATGCACAGCACACATATCAGTCCATCTGATCGTGCCCACTCTGTTAAAATCAAACCACAGTATAAGATGTGAACATGTTTTTTCTGCTCTTCAGCCATCAACCCACATCCTTTTTCAAGTGCAAAAGAGACCATCTCTGATGATGAATATATGACTAATATGTCCATCTCTGCCCACACGTACTAACCACTCTGACTTACTCCTTTTCTAGATAGGCCACTATGAACTTTGCACAGTTTTTGGTTGCATTCTTTATTTATTATTTAAAATATTTTTACCTTACGTTCTCCTTAAAAAGGACCCAATATGTAACTATGTAAGCCTTAAAAAGGCTTATATAATTAAAAGATGGTATTTAAAGCTAGACAGTGAGTATACCAATGCAAAAAGATCAAAGGAATACTATACTAACAAACATAAGCAATGCATTTGAAGCAGAAAGATACAACAATCCATTTAAAAATCCACACACAGTCAGCCTGCCTGAAAATAAAGGTCTTTGTCTGCTTGCAGAAGGACAGCAAAGATGGAGCCAGCCTGGTCTCCTGTGTAATGATGTGTAATGTGTAATGATGTCCTTCCTCTGGATTTATTGTTCAGATATTTTGCAGTTGTTATCCATTCATAATTTTTATGAACTCATGTTGTGGCAATTTTGTTTAGTAGAAAATGTCTCATGAATGACATCATGACAACAGTGTGCTGTCAATGGCATTTGCCTGTATATTTGTAGCTATGCTGATGTTTGCCCAACCATCAATCAGATTTGCTTGGAGTTTAAAAAACGTATGGGAAAAGCTTTTGAAAACTAAAAAAAAACACTAACAAGTTTGCTTGTTGCAGGTTTTTCAGGCTGTTTGTCCATGTTCTGGAAGGTTTTGCCTCATAACGCTTCACCAGTCTCTGTGGCTGGCCTCTTCAAAGGATGAGGATTAGAACTCTGTCTAAGAGTCCTGCAGGCTGGTGAGAAAAGAGGGTCAGGTAGAGAAAGGAAACCCCTCTTTTGGGTTTTAAAACAAAACCAGCAAGGAGTGGGGTGGCGGTAAGAATAATAATATCATGTATCTTGAGCAACTTCTCAATTACAAACAAACTATAAAAGGCTGTGATGGGAGGTGAGATGGGGGGAGTTGGTAGTGAAGAAATAAAGACAACCATCCACTACTAAGCGAATACCTGTAAAATTTTCAGGCTCTTTGGCTGTGTTACAAAAGTTGTTCTTCCTAATGTTCCACCAGTCTCTGTGGCTGGCATCTTCAGAGGACAGGATTCAGAGCACTGTCTGTGCTCTGGTACAGTTTTGTGGGATAGTTGAGTATTTATGGCTGTGGAATCGGCTTTTGTCTTTTTCAGGAGATTAGGTGATTATGGTGATCAGTTTTTGTTGTTGTTTTTGTATTGTTGTGATAAGGGGGAGAGATGATCTGTCACTGTGATTGATGGGTGTCATTAGCTGGTCTTTTGTGTGCAGTGATCACTGGTCCTTGTGGCTGGGTAGAGTTCTTTGACCTTTTGTAAGCTGTATTTTTCAGTGCTGGGAGCCAAGCTTTGTTGAGTTTTGGACTTTCTTCTTTTTGTTGACAGTTCTTGTTGTCCCTTTTTAAAAATTCCTTATTTTTATGCAGAATGGCACAGCAGAATCTTGCCTTAGTTATTTATTTACAAAAACAAAATTCACATTATATTTATGTTAATCACTTATTTCTTTCTCAAGGAAACACTTGCATTATATATACCCAAAGTACAACTGCTTCTCGTTGATTGTTCCAGTTGCAGTTTAGTTAGTTGCTTGAAGTCTCTGGAATTTCAGAGCATATAAATCCTTCAACAATATTTAGCTGTTTTTCTCACCCATAGGGAAACGCCCACACTGACTTCGTTTACAATATCTGGCAGTATATTCTTCTGCCTGTTGTTGCTGCTTCTTGCCAAAAGCCTCCCTTGATTTATGTTGAGCCTACTGAGAGAGGCTCTGCATTTATGAAGGTCAATTACCTCTTTAATTTCACCTGTTGTCTTTCCTTTTAGTAGCTTCATTCAGCAGAAACACTCTTTGTAAAATATAACACCAACAACGTCCACTCCAATTGAGTGTAGGGAGAGTGAGAAGAGACAAAAGAAAATATTTCTTGACCCAGCATGTTGTTAGTCTGTGGAACGTCTTGCCACAGGATGTGGTGATGGCATCTGGCCTAGATGCCTTTGAAAGGGAATTGGACAGATTTCTGGAGGAAAAGTCCATCACGGGTTGCAAGCCATGAGGGGGATGTACAATCTCCAGGCTTCAAAGGAAGGGACCTCCAAATGGCAGATGCAGTGGGGGAGGTATTAGGAGACCGGTCTCTAGTTGTCTCATGTGCTCTCAGAGGAATCTGGTGAGGCCACCATAAGATACAGGGAGCTGGACTAGATGGGCCCTTGGCCTGATCCAGCAGGGCTCATCTTAGGTTCTTAAGTGTGGTTGCACAGCTTTATACAGTTCGCTTCCTGAATGCAATTTACCACCGTCCATGCCATGCCTCATGATTTTTCTGTATAAATGTGTCACTTGCTACTGGAAGATGCTAACAAAGTAGAGACTTTTAATCTGCCAATTTTATTCACCTGGTATTTGTAGTTTTTATTGCTAGAGATGAAAAAAAGACTGTTTGAAGGGTTTCCTTAGAAAGATTCTGGAAGAACTCGAGTCTACAAAAGTCTGTTGAGAAGCAATGCTGGTCTTTGCTGACTCTTTAGTCTATTGACAAATGCCCACAGGGGATGCCTGCAGCTGTAGGTAACATGGCATGGGAGATGAAACGCCTTTCCAGAGCAGCTCATTGCTGGGAGCATTCCACTAATCTGAATTTACTGGCTGAGAGATACTTCTTACCCTTGTCCTTCAATTTCATGCATTAGGTGTTGCTTTTCACAGATGCTCCCCAGTGTCCCCGATGGCACCGTATCACTCTGTGGGTAGGATTCATTTGGAATATCATCCTGGTGGCAATCGTTATAGTTTTGGGTGAGTATGAGAGGAACCTATTTTGGTAACTACCTGCATTTTTAGGGGTGGTCCCACAAATAACGTTCATGGAACTTTCATACATTTTGAAAAGAAAATGAAAAATAGTGCAGTCTGGACTGCAAGGAGAACAAACCTATCCATTTTGAAGGAAATCAACCCCGAGTGCTCACTGGAAGGACAGATCCTGAAGCTGAGGCTCCAATATTTTGGCCATCTCATGAGAAGAGAAGACTCCCTGGAAAAGATCCTGATGTTAGGAAACTGTGAAGGAAAGAGGAGAAGGGAGCGACAGAGGACAAGATGGATGGACAGTATCATCGAAGCTACCAACATGAATTTGACCCAACTCCGGGAGGCAGTGGAAGACAGGAAGGCCTGGCGTGCTCTGGTCCATGGGGTCACAAAGAGTCAGACACAACTTAACTACTAAACAACAACAAGCATAAAGATATTAGCTGTTATCCTAAACAGAATTAGCTGTTAGATATCAACTAATCCTGTGTTCTAAAATATCAGCTGTTAGACTGTAGGACTTGGCACAACTGTAACAGTAGAAAAAAGAGTCAACACAGCAATAAGACAGGAGGGCCTGGCGTGCTCTGGTCCATGGGGTCACGAAGAGTCGGACATGACTTAACGACTAAACAACAACAAATTCATAGAGGTACAGTTGGTACTCTCTCCCTCATTTGTGTATGATGAACAGTACCTCCTTAAATCCCCTTGTCTAGGGTCTAAGAATTGTCTTTTGCAGTTGCCCCCACCTCTGTTTTTAACACCAGATTTCTTTCTTCATTCTTTGGTATCCATATTTTAAACTTCCATTGCCTCATTTATTCAGCTACTTGTTTACTTATTTGTTTTCGAAAGCTGTGCACTTGGAGAAAGGAAAATCTGATGCAGATGTTGGCAGAGCAAAATGCAGCACCTCTTTAGATGATTTCCAGGCCCGTCTAAACAGGGAGCTCTGCAACCAAAGCCAGGACAGATCCTCAGGTAATATAAATACATTGGCTGAAATTCTGTTGATTAGTGTGATAAATTGCACAAGAATAGACTCACTAAATCAGTGGGAATTTGGAAAGTCAACTCCGATGTATGTTCAATTGATTCAAACAGCAGTACTCTTGTCTTAGACTGAGGAAGTGACTAGATGGGATATTGTGCAAGGTGGACGTTTTCCATATCACAGCTGGCACTTTTTATCAAGGATAAAAATTGGGGGAGGGAGATTTAACAAAAGAAAAATTGGGAATTTTAAATAAAATCTTTACTAAATTATACAGGAGTGGAAAATTTCTTTGGAGAAAGTGAAAGGATATACAGTGGTGCCTCGCATAGCGAGGTTAATCCATTCCGGATTAACCTTCGCTATAGCGAAACATCGCTGAACGGGACAGGGAAAGCCAATGGAACGCATTAAACATCGTTTAATGTGTTCCAAAAGGCTCCTTTACTCACTGTTCAGCGAAGTTTCCTATGGCCGGCAGCCATTTTTGCGCCCTCGTTAAGCGAGGGGAGGGCGCGAAAACGCTGCGCGCGGCCATTTTGGGGCTTCCTGCGGCCATTTTGTCCGCCGAACAGCTGATCGTCCGAGCTTCATTTTGCGAAGATCAGTAAGCGAAACACTTACCGATCTTCACAAAGCGAATTTCGCCCTATCTAAAGCTCATTGAGCGATCGCATTAGCGATCCCAAAAAAGGGATCGCTATGCGATTTTGTCGTTGTACGGTGCGCTCGTTAAGCGAGGCACCACTGTATAGAGAAAACTATAGGGAAATTGCAAGAAGCAGATAAAGATTTGATGGAACAGGAGGGTACAGAGGATGAGTTAGAAGAGGATATTAATAAATTAAAAATAGGAAAGAGATAGATGAACTGGGACCAAAATATTATTGAACTTTTAAAAAGATGTAACTACTAAAACTGAAGGCTCTGTTTAATAATATACGGGAAGGGAGAGAAATCCCACCATCATGTGAATTTCGTTGTATGGTATACTGTGTATATATTGAGGGTACAGAGGATGAGTTAGAAGAGGATATTAATAAATTAAAAATAGGAAAGAGATAGATGAACTGGGACCAAAATATTATTGAACTTTTAAAAAGATGTAACTACTAAAACTGAAGGCTCTGTTTAATAATATACGGGAAGGGAGAGAAATCCCACCATCATGTGAATTTCGTTGTATGGTATACTGTGTATATATTTACAATGACAATAAATTATATTATTATCATGGTAATACTCATAAGAGTAAAATTCCAGCAGCTAATAAGGGTCCGACTGATCTAACGGCATACAGAACTATTTGTTTAATAAATCAAGGTGCCAGGATTTTTGAGCAATATTAGCTGAAAGAATGAATAGTTTTATTGATACATACGGTATATTAAAAAGGATAAGAGCAGCTTTATAGCTGAAAGGCAGATTGCAGATATGACTAGAAAGGTATTAAATCTTACAGATATTATATGAAAAAATGTAAACGCTGGACTAATTCCATTAGATATTTTTAAACTTTTGACTATGTGGAATGAGCAGCAATATAAATGCTGATGGAAATATTAGGATGTGGAGATTTAAAACTACTGTAAATTACATTATCCAAAACCTGAAAGAATCAACCAGGGTAACTTAGGTCGTGGTCAGACGCAGGAAATGTTTTCTAGTTCTTCCTATATTTTCCATACTTCTGTTGTACAGAATTGTAGTCACATGGTTTATATCCCAGGACGAACCTCCCAAGAACTTTTAGCAGTACTGATTTATTTCCTCCTATTTGAATTGTTATGGCCAGCTACACCATGGTACTGATTAATTTTCTCTCTTACCTCAAGGGGCAATTTAGCCCAGAGACAGAGAGATTAAAAATAATATCACAATATCAGAAACAAGTCTCACTCTAAGGTGTGTGACTGTGTTTTCCTCCTCCCCCGTGCACCCACAGCTATCATCTCCAGCCCCTTTCCTTCCAAGTGCAATAGAAACCCAGGTGGGGGGGGCAGACTTGCACATGGGCGGGCGTGGAAAATAGAAGGAAAATTGATCCGGAAGAGAGTTCTATTTAGCAAACTGTCCCTCGGTTGCACTGGCCGCTGCTGCAGAAATGCATTGCACACAATGGACTTGCGATATCTGCATGGCAGTACTGGCGATCGCCCCCCACCCCACCCGGGGACCTTGACAGGCTAATGTTTCAATGCGTCTTCCCCCAGAAATAGAAGAAATTATTTCTTGCCACTAATACAATGGTGCCCCCTGTGACATACGTTTACAACGTATTGATGTATTGACACAAATGTTTTTTTTAAAAATTATGTGTGTGCTGCAGTAATGGCAGCCGCCTTCTTGGCTTTGATTCTGAAAAGAAGTCAGGGTAGGTTGTGCACATAGGGAATCCTGGTAAGGAATGCACTGGTACAATAGAGGTGCAAAGTAACACAACCCTCCTGGAGATGGGGAAATGTTCTGCAGTTATACTGGGAAATTGTCTCTTGACAGCGCGTTGTGTGACACCCCCCCCCCAAAAAAACCCCAACATAACTGATGGATAACTACATAACATTTCTCTTGCGTGACCAGGATAATTTACCTTACCCATCCCGAAGAGAGCAATCTGGCCTCAGTATATGTTTGCTAACTGGAGGGAGGGTAGTGATCCATGGAGAAGTCATTTCTAGGTTCAAAACTTCTCATCTTCGAATGTTCTTCTCAAGCAATCTTTTCTACACCACAACAGACACATTATCTTCCTTGCCCAGCTTTTATTTTGATTTCAACTGATGCTCCATGTTCTAACGGATCACTTATTTTAAATTTTGATTTCTTTAAGACTATGTGCATGTAATTTATTTCATACATTTGTATCTGGCCACCATTTAAAAACCCTAGCACTGCTTTATAATAGTATAATTCTGGACAAATTAAGATGGCAGTCATTGAGGTGGTGGTCAAAACTGCTGCCGCAGGTGGCCTACCAGATGGTGCTTTGTTGAGGACAAACTTAATCTTGTATTAACCTTGGCAAGATATAAAGTTAGTGTATAAAACACTAGACAAGGGAAGCAATAAGTGCTCTCCTATCTGTGTCTCAATTGCATTATACAACTAGCAAAATAAACCTGGAAATTGGTACCTTGTCTGTTCTTTGCAGAGGCAGATACCAAAGTACTCCTCCTAGCCTTCAGGAGATTTAAGATCTATATAGCCTTCTAGCATTGCTGGCAATTTGTGAAAAGGTGTGTTATCATTTCTTCATGATCACACAATTGTATGTATTTAAATGTAACTTGAGTCTTTTCTAACATTAGCAGTGAATATCTATCTTGAATAACAGTATCCTGCAGTATGTTATAATAATAAACTTGCAACTGTAGAGCTGGAAGGGACCCTATAGATCATTGAGTCTAGCCCTCGTCAGGCACAGTGGGGAATTGAACTCCCAACCTGGCTCTGCAGCCAGATATCTAAACTCCTTTGCTGTCCAGCAGATAAGTGCCAACCTAGAAATAAAATGACTGATTTCTGTTTTTTCTTAAGAAATAACCAAATAGCATTGAGGTGATATGATGAGTTTGTGTGCGTGTGCATTTATTTGTGTTTGTGTACAGAGGCATGTTAGTGATATGTGTGTGTCCCCTTATATTTTCTTAATTTAGACCATTCATATTATTGTTATTTGCTCTCCTGGAGGAAATATGCAACCTCTGTGTGCTAAATCCAACATTAGTGCCATCTGGGGAATACGCAATGAAACGAGATAGACTTTTTCAAAGGTCCTATTTATTCCAATAGATCCTTCTGAGAATAATGGAATCACAGGGATTACCATGTATCCTATCTCACAGCCATAAATACTGGCACTCCCTAGCCAACTACACCAGAGCACAGAGTGCTGTCCTCTGAAGATGCCGGCCACAGAGACTGGTGAAACGTTAGGAAGAACAACCTTCAGAACACAGCCAAAGAGCCCAAAAAACCCACAACAACCAACCAACCAACCAACCAACAAATAAATAAATAAATATAGTACATATGACCAATCAGATAACATTACCTCATATCAGGTGATCTCATATGAATTACATCAGCCTTGTGCCTAGTCAGCATGACTCAGCTTTCTACCCAGCTGTACAATATGGCTGATTAACAACTTTCTTTACACATTCAGTTTAAGATGTCAATTTCTTCTATTACAAACATTGTAATTTCCTGACAGATCCACGTTATTTATAGGTTCAAAACTTCTCAACCTTGAATGTTCTCAAGCAATCTTTCTATACCACAATGCACACATCATGCTCCTTGTCCAGTATTTTCCACAGTTATACCACTGGCTGGGAAAATGTCTCAATATTGACTGTGTGTTGTTTAACAAAAAAACAAAAAAAGCAAAGAAACTAACTAGGGGGCCACAAGAGAACATTTCCCCGATGTGACCAGAACCTAACATTCATCTTACTCTACCATTATCATTTCATGACAGAGGTTCTCACACCCTTTACAGCACAAGCTTCAATGTAATACTTTCAGATCAAAGTTTCTATCATTACAATGTTAAATATACAATGACAACCAACCACGATCCCTGCATTTTGATATCTCTAGTTAGATGCTATGTATAACTATTTGCCTTTTTGTATTTCTTTCTATTATGACAAAAGCAGACCAAATACTGTGAGCTGAAATACTATATAAAGGCAAACTAACTAACTAAGCTCTAGTTGTTGTGGGTTTTTCGGGCCATTTGCCTATGTTATGGAGGTTTTTCTTCCTAACGTTTCGCCAGTCTCTGTGGCCAGAATCTTCAGAAGACAGGAGTTAGAACTCTGTGTTCTGATGTACTATGTGGGATTGTTGAGTATTTGTAGCTGTGGGATCAGGATTTTGTTCTTTTCAGGAGATTGGGTGTTTCCTGTGATCAGTGTTTTTTGTTATGGGTGTTTTGTTGTGATAAGGGGGAGAGATGATCTGTCACTGTGATTGATGGGTGTTGTTGGCTAGTCTTTTGTGTGCAGTGATCACCAGTCCTTGTGGCTGGGGAGAGATATACAGCCTGCAAAAAAGGTCAATGAACTCTACCCTAGCCGCCTAGAGTGGTCTTAAGTGACTAGATAGGCGGGATATAAAATAAATAAATAAACAAACAAACAAATAAATAAATACCCAGCCATCGGATTCCAGCCAGGAAAGCCTTCAAGAACACATGAGAGAGTTGTCCAGACCAAGCCCATTGTGGTAACTCTTTCTTAAAAGCTAGATTAACTACACTTTTAAGACTGTGTGAGCAACATGATATGTTCCTTTACCTTAACATTGAGAAGAGAGACAAGAGGTACTGCAATGCAGCCATATGCCATTGCCACAATGGCTCCTTCCAGGACACAGCATGTCCATGGGAGGTCCTGATGAGCACCCTGTCTGCACAAACCAGAATTTCCAAAACGAAGTGCTGATCACTCTGGCAAGTAACGGGGGTGGGGGAATTGTGGGGTGTGTGCGCATGTGCATGCATGCAGTTTGTAATACCCTGGAGAAAAAGGCACCAAGCCAAAGTTGCATACAGATAGATCTGTAATCCATTATTTTGTCCCAAAAGTGACTTCCAATTGCGATCAGTCTTCACTTGAATGTCATGTGATTTGATAGCTGAGGACTGTTTCAGAATGAGCTGCAAATGTTTAGTCTACAGAAGCTGTGGCCAAAGTGAATGGAATACGTAGATTTGCTGGATGCCTAAAACCACTGGTTCCTACATTTGCTTATTTCTTGAGTGGGGTTTTTGGTTTGTTTGGTTTCCTGGTTTAGAAACAGGTGCCTATTCAGAAGCACTAACAAACCATCCCTTTCTCTCCTTCTTAGTCAATTCCACTTGCAGAATCTGCCCTGTAAACTGGCTTCTCTACAGGGACAAGTGCTACTGGAGATCAGAGGATATGAAACGCTGGAAGGACAGCCAAGCTGATTGTGCGACAAAGAATTCTCATCTGGTGGTGATCCAAGATGAGGAGGAGATGGTAAAAAAGGAAACACATAGATTTTATATGATGCATTTCTATTTATGTTCACTGTGTAGAAACTCTGAGTTCAGCTCAGCTTAGGCTGACTTGAATCTGCATAAAATTTCCAGCTTTAGATTAATTCTCTGAAAGCGAAATCAGTTCTTCAAAAAAACCTTCAGTTTATGAATGTGGGATATTGTGCTTCTGGATTATTCAAAACACCAGGAAATGGCTTCATATTGTTGCACAATATCCTGCCCGCGTTGCCTGCAGGAAAAAGATCTACATCAGGCTTGTCCAACCCGCGGCCCGAGGGCCGCATGCAGCCCAGGTCAGCTCGTAATGCGGCCCAGTGCAATTTTTTATTTTTAAAGAAATTCCAAAGTTTCAAGTTACACTGCGGGTGCTTACGGCCGGAATGTGGCCGGGGCACGTCACAACAGTAGAGGGGGAGAGAGGGAAGGAAGGAGTGGGAGGGGAGGAGACAGGGGGGCTGCGTGACTACATTGTGCCGTCCCGTCAATACGTAGACCCCCTCCCGGCCCCATAAAGCCGCCGGAGTCAAAGCTGGAAGCCTCTGCTGTCTGAGATCGCAGCTGCCAGTAAGTGCGCTTGGAGCGGGGCTGCGGAGGACGCCTAGGGCTGCCCTCCCATGCGGCCCAAACCAAATGTATGTGCAACCGAAACCAAATTTTCATCTTCTAATGTGGCCCAGGGAAGGTGAAAGGTTGGACACCCTTGATCTACATAGCAAAGGGCAGCCTGAATGCTGAAAACACCAATAGCAGCAGCCATGAGGATCTACAGGATACCCTCTTTTGCTCATTACATTGTTCATGGGTCATCAACCATGTATGACCCATGACCCACAGATTTCTCCCTGGTGGCTTGACAAACCATGAATCCTTGGGGGGGGGGGGAATCACTTCAGTCAGGCTTTCCCAGTCTATGCCATGGGGACATAAAGGGAGGAAGCCTGAACCAAGTGATTCCTCCCCACTGACTTTGCAAAGACAGCGGAGCAGGGAGAATCCCTTGGGTTAGATTTCCCTTGGTTTTCTATGCTCGTGTGAACACAGAAAGACTGAGGAAACCTCATCAAAGTGATTCCCCCCCTCCCCTGCTGTTTGCAAAGATGGCAGGGGCAGGGAAATTCCTTCAGCCAAGCTTCCCTTGTCTACGCCACAGGGGCATAGAAAGACAGGTAAAGCCTGACCCAAGTGATCTTGGGAAATGGGTGGGGGATTCCCTTCAGGCAGACTTGAGGAAGCCTCCTGAAGAGAAAATGTCTCTCTGCCTCAGAAGGAAGCGCTGATTCTTGGGGACATAAACAGAGAGGGATAGATGAATGGATGAATGGGAAAGGGTTATATTCGTTGATTCATCCTCGTTGAGGTCTCTGGTCCTCACGTATTGGAAGCGATTAAGATCTGATGAATCAGCGATATTTGTTTAATATCATGATTCACTTTTATATTCATCCCCATGTCTACTCATAACCTTTCACAAAATGACACCGCACAAGGGAAAAATCCCGGAAGCTGACTCCTATTTTCATCAGTTCTCATCCAAACACAAATCTGTAGTCAAGGTTATTGTTGTTTTTTTTTTTACAATTGTGAATGGTAGTGACTCATAACCTTACACAAAATGACATCGCACAAGGGAAAAATCCCACAAGCTGACTCCTATTTTCATCAGTTCTCACCCAAACACAAATGTGTAGTCAAGGTTATTGTTTTTTTTTTACAATTGTGAATGGTAGTGAGACCAGGTTTCAGTATGCATACCAGATGGGCATGAACCGGTTCGTCTTGATTCGTCCCAGTTCATAAAGGCAGCAGCTCAAGAGCTAATTTTTTCCCTCCCTACCTCCTCTGGTTGAAACAGCCACTCACCAGGCCCAGCTTGCTTGATTTCTCCATCTTCTTGGCTAATCTCCCAGCCACAAGCAACAGCACAGACTTCTTCCCACCCTTTTGTCGAAGTGAGAGATCAGCCAAGAGGTTTGGGCAGTTTGGCTGAGTGAGCCTTGGCTAATCTCCCATCCACAAGCAAGAGCACAGACTTCTTCCCACCTTTTTGTCTAAGTGAGAGATCAGTCAAGAGGTTTGGGCAGTTTGGCTGAGTGAGTGGCTTTTTGAGGCTGAGGAGGTTGGGGAGGGGAGCAGCAGCAACTGCGCTGCTGCCTTTACAAATTAGGACAAACTGGTTCATACCCATTTCTAATATACAGTATACACTACACACACATTGCAACAACAGAAACTTTCCTCAAGTAGAATTACCCACTAGTAGAGGATACCACAAGTTGAGCGCATGATCTGTACTGATTTCTCAGGGAAGACCGAAGCAAGAACATTTGGGGTGTGGTTGCATACTCCCCCTGTGCCAAAATAATTTGTAGGGCTTTTTTTAACTTTATGAAATGGTGAAGCAAAGGTGTGAGTAGGTGCAACACGTACAATGAAGAAACATACACATCCCTTAAACTCCCAGGTAAACTAATGTTGCCATGCCTATTCCACAGAATGCAAGCTGGAAAATTATGTTCCAGTTTCCAAACCCTTTCCTTGAGTTAGGCAAGCTGAGGAAGAAAATCTATATTGGACCAAAAGCTCTAGAGATACTTTGTCTGCATGATTTCCAAAATGATATCCCTTTGCCTTTTGAAATAAAAAGGAGAGCTGGAAGCTAGCAAAGATTGTCACTTGAAGTCAAGGTCAAAATTATCCACACTATGTGAGATTAGATGGTGCTCAACGGCCTCAAAGTTTCCCCCCTGGACTGTTAGGACAAGATCATAGGTTTAGATTAACCTGCTGGAGTATGGGAATGCTGATTGATCATTTGTGTGAACATTAAAAAGAAATGATGCTAAGATGCTACTCTGTGGAAGATGGTTTGATTTCTCCAGTCACTGTGTCCCCCCTGAAATTCAAGAAAGAATCAGTTTGAAGTAGAAGAGTGGAGTAACATTTATAGATGTAAAAAAAAACTGTCTATGAAATGAAACAGTCTATGTATACAGTGGGGTCTTGACTTGAGAACTTAATCCGTATTGGAAGGCGGTTCTCAAGTCAAAAAGTCTGTAGGTCAAGTCTCCATTGACCTACAGTGCATTGAAAACCGATTAATCCCGTAACAGGCCGTTTTTGTTCCATTTTGGTTTTTTTTCTGGTCTGTAAATCAATTCTCAGGCTGCAAGTCAAACCTAAATTTTGCAGCCAGAGAAGTCTGTGACTCAAAAAGTCTGTAAGTCAAGCCGTCTGTAAGTCAAGGGTCCACTGTAGTTCTAACACAAGACAAACTTCATCTAGAGTCTAATAAAATGCAAACTCAGACCCCGAATGCCCAAAATGGCAGTCACTCTGGGTACACACCTGACTAAATTACCACAGAAGGAGAGCAAAGAGGGAGGGATAATCTGGATGGATGGATTCGGTTAGATTTTTATGCTGCTCATCTAGTGGTGTGCCACTACTGTGGTCAATGTACACACATAAAAGCACCCACTCCCACCCATCAAATAAGTCGTTCAAGGAACCCAAAAGAACCCCCAGTGGCAACAGTGGAGAAAAACCAAAATTAAAAAAAAACAAAGATTTATTTAGGCAAAAGCAAAAGAGTAATAAAAAGTTTAAGAAGACATAAACGTGGTGGCACCTTATAAACCTATATTTTTCGTTGTGATCTTTCATAGACAAGTCCACTTCATCAGAGAGATATACAGTGGTGCCTTGACTTACAACTATAATCCATTCCAGAAGATGGTCGTAACTCGAAATGGTCATGTCAAAGCACCATTTCCCATAGGAATGCATTGAAACCCCATTAACTGGTTCTGGCCGAAAAAAATAATCTCAAAAAAAAAAAAAAAAACCACCCACTCCAAACCCCATTGGAAGGCGATGGGGCTGGGGAAAAAAATCAACCCCCCCCCAGAACCAGCCCCATCGGAACGCCATGGGGCTGGGGGGGAAATCAAAACACCCCCTCACACACACACAGCCAGCCCCATCGGAACACCATGGGGCTGGTGGGGAATCAAAACACCCCTTCACACACACACAACCAGTCCCATTAGAATGCCATGGGGCTGGGGGGAAATCAAAACACCCTCCTCACACACACAGCCAGCCCTATCGGAACGCCATGGGGCTGGGGGGGAATCAAAACACCCCCTCACACACACACAGCCAGCCCCATCAGAACGCCATGGGGCTGGGGGGAATCAAAACACCCCTTCACACACACACAACCAGTCCCATTAGAATGCCATGGGGCTGGGGGGAAATCTAACCCCCCCAGGGGGTTCAAACACACACACAAACACACACACACACCCCAAGCTTTGGCCCTAGGTGTTCAGATGAGAAAAGAGACAAACTAGGAAGGAGCAGTGGGCAACTGTGGCCCTCCAGATGCTGCTGAACTGCATATCCCATAATCCCTCACCAATGGCTGCCTTGGCTAGAATAGGTGAGACTTACAGGCCAAAGCATTTGGAATGCAGAGTTGCTCTGTTGATTACATCAAATGAAAGGACACAGTATTGTGTGGAATATACTGCAAGGCAGATATGTGCTTCTATGTTCAGAAGCTCTGGCGTTTCCAGAGACGGGCAGGGGGAAACAGACCCAGAAGTAACAGAAGAATAATAATGCTTTGCTACCACATTAATACTTTTCTGCTTTCTGCAGAAGTTCATAAAACAAAATATGCAGGATAAGTCTGTTCTCTACTGGATTGGACTCTACTCGTCTTTATCAGAGGAGAAATGGGCATCAGTTACAGGTTCCCAGCTTGATCCAAACATGTAAGTATCTTTCATAATGGCTTTGTTTTTTTTTTTCAACCAAAGCATGAAGGTTTAGAATTTTTAGATCTAACTTGATCTGAAGACACTAGTTTGTACCCAGATCTAGATTAAGATGCCAATAGGGATGCATATGGTGAAAACTTTCATTTTGCTTTCATTTTGTTTTGTTGTTTTCAGGCGTTGCCTCTACCAGTTTCACTTGTTTCCTGCACTGCCCTTTTAATATAAAACAGTAGTCATACAGAAGAGGGGAACATATCAGGCAATAACAAAATAACAAAAATAAAGATGATAAAAACATTGTGGAGGACTAAAAATAAAGACATTGCTATGTTAGGATCCATTCTTGATCATCCCAGAGTGCAGGACATGAAATAATAGGTTCAAGTTATAGGAGGCCAGATTTCAGCTGAATATCAGGAAAATGTCTTACCTGTTAGAATAGTGTGACAATGAAACCAATTATCTCAGGAGGTGGTGAGCTGGAGGGATTCAAGTGAAAATTGGACAACCATCTGTCAGATCTACTTGGATTTGGATTCCTGCACCAAGCAGGAGGTTGGACTTGAAGGCCGCATGGGCACCTTCCAACTCAATTATTGTATAATTCTGTGATTTTAAAAGGGTCTACTTTCAAGCCATTTTGGCTTGTTTGTTCCCTAAAGAACCCCTAAAACTGCTTCAAAAAAGCAGGTGCAAGGTAACTGAGAATAAAATTTACTCCAAAACCAGGCAACACTACAATCAATGACCACTACGTCAATTAAAAAAAACAGTCCCACTGAAAACTTCCAAAGTATACACATTTATACGCACAGTAAATTAAACAAATGCATCCGCTGCTCAGTCATTTAAATTCAATACAACAGAAACAAAACAATTAACACTAATCTCAGTGTCATGATGTTAGCCACCACAGGGTAGATTCACTGACCACTTAGACACAGTACCCTGGCTTTTCTTGGTGTGTGTACTTTCCAGGAGGGTGCAGTGCGTTACTGTGTAACCTCTTCCCAATGGGTCTGAGCCTGTTTGCTCCTTCAGTGCTCCAGGGAGAGAACAAAAATTACAAGGGTGCTTGCTTGGGTCTGCAAACCAGTCCTGTAAGGTAGGAAACACCCACAAAGTATTCAAAATTCTGAGTGCAAGTCACCTTCTCCAGTACTACCAACCCCTTCATTTTCAGACTGCTCACACAGTTGGAAAATTTTTATTATGTTTATTTGGTACAAAAATGTATACGTTCAAAATTAAATGCAAAGTTTCCAAAAGAATTTTTAAAATCTACAGTGGTACCTCGCTAGACGACGACCTCACAAAATGATGAAGCCGCATGACAACGAGGTTTTGCAATCACTATAGTGATTCGCAAAACAGTGATTCCAATGGGCGATTTTCACTTGATAGTGATTTGGTCCGTGCTTCGCGGACCATTTTTTTTTGCAAGACAACATTTTTTACAGCTGATCAGCAGCTTCGCAAAATGCCTTCCCTATGTTTTCAGGACCAATGCTTCGCAAGACAGCCATTTTTACAGCTGATCGGCGCTTCGCAAAATGGCTGCCCTATGGGCGATCTTCGCAAAACGATGATGATTTTTCCCTATTGGAACGCATTAAATGGGTTTCAATGCATTCCAATGGGGAAACAGTTTTCGCAAGACGATGATTTCGCTAAACAGCAATTTTCACGGAACAAATTATTGCCGTCATGCAGGGCACCACTGTATAACCAAAGATGAAGCATGCAAGGCTTATTCAGAGACTAGGCAATTGCAGGATAAGTCCTACATAAAATAACAAAGGCCATGGTCACACCAGTGAAATGTTTCCCTCTGCTACCAAGGCTGTTCTTACTTGTATTGCTTCATGGTCACATAGCATTTATAACAGGATGTGTGTCCCACATGACTTTTTTTGTTTCCGCAACAGAAACATCTTTAAATTTGATGCATTATTGCTGGCTACACTTTAGTTCCAGCATATTTCCCTTATGGGTTTTTTATGTCACTGGAGACGTTGACGTTATTTTTCCAACACACTGACACTCCAGCCGAAAGACAGTAGTGGTGGCAGCCTCCCATGTTGACTTTCCCTCAGGAAAGTTGTGGTACAGTCATGCACACACCCTGTAACGAAACAAAATGTCTTGCAATGTGACCAGAACAACAACAACAAAAAGTAGAAGCCTCCAGGGGCGGCAGGAAACAATGTGGTGTTAGGACAGTAGCAAGGTATTCAGTACTGGCTGTGCCTTGTCTGACCAAATATTTATGATGTAAACTCAGTGGGGCATAACTAGAAAACATGTTGTTGGTGTAACCATGGCCAGACCTGGCTAACCTACACTTATATGTGGAATACAGTGAAGGTGTAACATAGTTCAAAAGCATATGCAGAATTTAGCATGTTTGTTCCTGTCGTCGTCACATATCGGTCCCTGCCCCTATCTGGGGTTTGGTACCATTACTCTTTTTTATTTAAAAAAAAACAGAACAGATGCTCCAGCCTTCATATCTAGTAAGCAGATTTTCTTCTTTCTTCCACAGACTTCCATCAGATACAAAAAGAAACCACTGTGGTGTGATAAAGGATAACATACGTTCTGACAGCTGTAGTGCTGAACATGTGTGGATCTGTCAAAGAGAGGCTTTATTGCTCTGATTTTGATATATAAATAATATGAATATTCTGTTACAGAAAAGGAACACAAAATAAAAATCCTTGTTTAACTACTAGAGCCTAACTTCTAGAGCAGAAATACCTTCCATGTAAAAGGAACTAATTAGAAGTAACTACAGTGGTGCCTCGCATAGTGAGTTTAACCC